GGGTCCTTAGGAACCGGGGTACGCGGCGGGCCGCGGTGGCCGCGCGGGTGGGCTCCGGCCGCCCGGAGTCGCCGCTGCCAACTCCTCTGCGCTTTGCTCGGACTCCGCTGCAACCTAGGAGGGGCCGGGGGGGCTTGGGGTCGTGCGGGCGGCCTCCGACTGGGGGTGGCAGCGGATTCCAGCACCTTGGTTGTGGGCTTGACACCCCCTCCCCCGCCAGAGAGTGGGGTGACCCCCCTCCGGCTGTCCCTCCGACCACTCGCGCCCCCCATCCTGCTGCTACCTCTCCCCCACTGCCCACGGTCAGCATTCCCCCCCCCCAGTACTCCCCGCAATAAGGCAGGACCCCAAACCAGCCCCCGGCCTGGTGGTGGGCGCTGCACCTGGAAGGCAAGACCCTCGGGAGGGTTGCTTAGATGCGGGCTGAGGATTAATTGGGTGCAGGGGACCTGAAGCGGAGACGTGTCTCTTTGCTTCTTTATTTAAGGCAATGGCCTGACCCTGACTAAGAATAGCTATTCTAATTTGGCCTTAGGTGCAAAGACTTCCCAGAGTTGTCAAGAAATAAGGTGCCCAGGGCCACTCTGACAGGGCCCTTCACTCCCCGCTGGCCGTGCCCTGGGCACTGTGCGCTGAGCTGGGGCCTATGGACCCCACTCCTCCTCCTCAGCTCTCATTTTTGCAGCAGCCCCTCCAGGTTGCATGTTCATTACCCCCACTTAACAGCTGAGATAACTGAGGCACAGACACATCATGTCATTTGCCCCAAAGCACAGGGTAGCAAGGAATAGAGGCAGGACCTGAATTCAGGTCTTGCTGATTCCAGGACTGTCCACTCTAGGGGGTCATGCTATCTCTACAATAACATCAGGTCCCTAAGGTGAAGCTGGGTACAGGTAAGGGCCCCCCGGCTCATATGCACGGCAGTTTAGTAGGAAGCAGAATTGTATATGATGTTCATTTTGCAGGGAAATCAGTGGCACTCATGGCATCCAAGGCTGCAGAGGGCAGTGGCCATTGGCCAGGCACGGGCTCAGAGTCCACCTGGACTATGTCCATTGTTGCCAAATCGCTTTCCTGAGCCATGTGACACCAGTGATTCATTCCCTCCCCTCTGTACAAGCTATTCCCTCTCAGCCATTTCCTCGGCCTTTCCTTTTCCTCTCGTACTGATATTCCTTTGGCCTCAAAGTTCACATTCTCCAATACTCTTTTTAGACCATTTTATTTGTTTCTCACTTTACCCATCATCTCTATGATGGCAGGTCCCAAATTCTCCTTTCCAGTCTCCCCCTCATCTCTAACTCCTGACCCAAATCTTTGAATAGTCTAATCTCTATTGGCCAATCCCAATGTATGCACCCACAGGCACCCTAATTCAGCATTTCAAACTCAAATATATCATCTCTATGCCTCCCACCAGGGCATTGGTACAGGTCTCCATGATTCCTTGCCTGGACTATCACTGGACTGGGAAACCGGTTTTTATGCTGGGAGTCCATCCACCCTCTACAAGCTCAAGAGTCCTAGTGTCCGGTATCTCAGACCTGACCAGAGAGAGCAGACCTTTCTCCCTCTCCTTCCTTAGCACCCTGGCATAGCTAGTTCTGGGGAGCCCTTGGCATGTTGTGTAACTGCTGATTTATTTGGCTTTCCCTTTACACTGTGAGTTCCTTTGTCTTATCCTTCCTTATATCCCCTGGTCTGGCACATAATAGACACTCAGAAAATATTTGTGTAGTTGATGGCCTTGTAATGAATTAAAACTCCTTTTAAGACGCAACTTATAGGTAGTAAAAAATCTCACTGTTTATAGTGTGACGTTTCGTATCTGTGTGTTGATGGGGGGAGGAGCGTCAGAAAGTAAATTGGCAGATAAGGTTGGCTATTGACTAATGACAAAATGAAAGCAAGTTTTCAAAATACGTGAGTTGATATTAAGGGTATTTACGGTTGATATGAACATTCAGACACAGCACAGTGACTTTCTTCTATTTTCCTTAGACGTCGGGTCAACGAGTAAGCTGAGTACATTCAACTAGAAGAAGAGCAGACAGTCATCATGGCATCAGTGTCCACTCACGGAAACCAAGATAAGCCTCATCTGCCCCCACTAAGCAAGCAGGTATGTTTTTAGTTGGCCACCTGAACAAGAACATCATACCAGACTTCCCTTAACCTTGTCCAGTCTGGCCCTTTGTGGATTCAGGGAAAATAAAATGGGGAAGAAAAGTGTTTTTGACTGCCTCAAAAAGCATCTTTTAAATTTTTGTTTCCAAAATCCTTTCTTTACTCTTCCCTATTCGGCATCCAGCTTAACCAACTCTTACACAGGCTGTCAGTGACTGAAGAGGTTTCCCTTAGCAGAGCAAAACTCGTTGAATCTAGCAGAACACTAACCTTACTAAATTTAGGCTGCTGACCGGTGTTCTTGTTCAGGAGAGCAGAGTCCTTAACTACTAAATTAGCCATCAGCTTGAGAACCCAACTTTGCAACTTGTTAAGAATGAATATTATGGGTTTCAGGGATACGTAAATGAAGAAAGGAGAAAGTATTGTGATAGGTAAATGAAGTTCATGTTCTCCAGGGTCAACTTTTCTAGCTAAAAGTAGTTTCTGTAGGAAGTGATCTTTAAGGAGCAAACTTCAGGAGCCGCAAACAGACAAATGATATCAAGTCACAAGAAACAGTATTTAGACACCTGAGTTGCCTTTGTGAAATGGAGAGCCATAAAACATTTATGGTTATAGAGAAAAGGCTCGCCTGAGCTCCTCTGGGGAGGCTCTGCAGGAGCTTCCATCTTGACTGTGGAACTCACAGTTGTTGTGGTGTTTGGGTCCCTGACCCTGGATGTGTGGATGTGTGAGTGTTTGGAGAAGGGGAGTACGGAAGGTGTTCCTTATTTCTGCCTCAGCCCGAGCAGAACCAAGAAGAGATACATACACTGGGATAGGAGGAGTGCTTGCTGAGGAACTAAGGTAAGTGGAGAGTGAGAACAGCTCCTTCTTGACACCGTGACTCGTCCTGACCCCACCTCCATGTACCGTGCTGTGGGGAGTTGTAGAGAAAGAAGAGAGAGGTTTCTTTCTTGGGTTTNTGCTGTGGGGAGTTGTAGAGAAAGAAGAGAGAGGTTTCTTGCTTGGGTTTCTTGTAGAGCTCTGAGGACATAGGTGTCACAGGGTCCTTCTACTTTGTTAACCAAGCATGTAAAGTGCTTGCTTANTCTTGTAGAGCTCTGAGGACATAGGTGTCACAGGGTCCTTCTACTTTGTTGTTAACCAAGCATGTAAAGTGCTTGCTTAGCACAGTGCCCGGCCTGTGGGAAAGTGCTCAAGAAATGGTGACCATTATCCACATTGATATCTACTACAAACACAGAGTTCCAAAAATAACATAGGCAAAACCAGCAAGGTAAACTTCAAAAGCCGAGGAGCTGCACCTCAACAAGAAAACACTAAAACTCCCAGAGCTAAATGGCAGAGGATCTACATAAATAATTCGCAAAGGAGGAAATACTGGTGTGACTTTTTAGCAAGGAACAAATTAAATAAAATTTGTTTTTTAAAAATGAATCAACCACCCACAGAATGGGGAAAAAATATTTGCAAATCATATATCTGATAAGAGTCTAGTATCCAGAATATATAAAGAGCTTTTACAACTCAACAACAAAAAGACAAATGACCCGATTAAAAAATGAGCAAAGGACTTGAATAGGTATTTCTCCAAAGAAGATATATAAATGTCCAACAAGCAAATGAAAAGATGCTCAATGTCATCAGTCATTAAAGAAATGAAAATTAAAACCACAATAAGCCTGGCCAGTGTGACTCAGTTGGTTGAGTTTTGTCCCATGTACCAGCAGGTCACCAGTTCGATTCCCTGTCAGGGCACATGCCCCGTTGAAGGCTCCATCCCTACTAGGGACCGTGCAGGAAGCAGCTGATGATCGATGTTTCTCTCTCATCGATGTTTCTATCTCTCCCTCCCTCTCGCTTCTTCCCTCTGAAATCAATAAAAATATATTTTAAAAAAACACAACGAGATAACATTTTACACCCACCAGCATCACTATAATTAAAAAGAAAAACAAAACAGAAAATAACAAGTGTTGACAAGGATGTAGAGAAGTTGGAACCATCATACTTTGTTGGTGGGACTGTAAAATGATGCAGCTCCTGTGGAAAACACTTTGGTGGTTCCTCAATTAGTGAAACATAGAAGTTTACCATATGGCCCAGCGGAATTAAAAATGTGTTCAAACAAAAACTTGTACAGGAATGTTCCTAGCAGCCCTACTCACAATAGCCAAAAGGTGAAGACAGCCCAAATGCTCACCAGTAGCCGTGTTGGTGAACAAAATGTGGTGTATCCTTGCAATGAAATATTGAGTCACAAAAAGGAATGAAGTACTGACACATACTACAACATGGATGAACCTTGAACACATTGTGCAAAGGAAAAGAAGCCTGACACAAAAGGTCATCTATTGTGTGACATCATTTACATGAAATGTACAGAATAGACAAAGCCATAGAGACAGAAAGCAGATTAGTGGTTGCCAGGGGGCCGAATGAAGGGAAGAGGGAATGAAGAGAGGCTGTTTAATGGGTATGGGGTTTGTTTTTGGGGTGATGAAAAAGTTCTAGAACTAGGTAGTGATAATGGCCACACATCATTATGAATGTACTTAATGTTGTCGAATTGTGTACTTCGGCTAAAATGGTAAATATTATGTTACGTGTATTTTACCACAATAAAAAATTAATGAGCCAATATGTAACAAAAGATCACAACCCAGGGCCAGCTACAGGGATTAATTACCTGAACACTAGAGATGAAGGGGGCAGTCTGGCTGAAGAATACATAGAGATAGATGCTCGAACACATTAGTTACCAGAGAAATGCAAATAAGACAATAAATTATTACTTTATACCTACTAGACTGTCGAAACTTATAAAAATGGATAATGCCAAGGTTAGAAAACCCTTTTTTTACCTAACCTGCTTGGACTCGAGCTCAAGTAACCTTAGGCCAAGAGGAACGTCCAGGTACTACTGGCGTCTCTCTCACATCAATGTTCCGCTCTCTCTCTCTCTCTCTCTTTCTCTCTCTCTCTCTCTCTTTCCTCCCCCCC